CAGTCACTTGCACGTGCGAAATGAATGGGTTTGCAGCTGCAGTAGCGGTCACCTTTTCCGCTCAGAAAGCAGAACGGGCTAGAAACGGGTCTTCAGGGTAACAGTATCCAAATGCCATCTCAATACCCTCAAGACGCACTACTTGCGTCGATATCAAGGCCGCGCACTGAAAGAGGCATTCAGCGGTAACGAACAGCTAGAAGTGAGACGGCGCAGATAAGCAGCGCGTTTGGCTATGGCTGGGCGCCTCACCGACCGTGCGGCAGCGCGGGCGCAGTCCAGAAACCCTCAGCCCGTTTCCGTGCATTTTTGACAGGAGAAAGGGCACAACGCTACAGTTGCAGACCCAATTCCACGACAAAAACCAGGATGCGAGTGTAGATTCTGTCCTTGATGGTATTATTATTTTTTACGCGTATGAGTTCAGCCACAGCCAAAATATTTGCCCCATGACTGAGTACCCTCAACTAAATACTGTAACGATGACCAGCGAACGGTTTGAAAAAGGCAACAAGCAAAAAAGCAGAAGTGGTAAAGTATCGATTTACCTTTTCGCAATAGAGTGAGCCAAACTTGAGACTACAGATGCAAAAGCTAGTAGAAATAATCTTTCCATTTTTTTATTGAGCGACCTTCTGACCGGAGACTGAGCTATGGCCAGTAAGTTGTTCAGCAACAACATATAACTATTGCGTGTAACGCTTATGGTTTTCTGAAAAAAACGAGGATATTGGGGCTGCCAAAAGTGATTGGTACAAGTAGAAATCGCTGAAAAATCAAAGAATTGTATACTGTTTTGAGAGAGTTGAGTCTTACCGCATTCCACAAAGACGTCAGCGCCACATGCGGGTTGTCCTTGAATACACTCCAGAAGATACCAGCGGGCAGATTTTCGTCGCTACAAAACAGGACAGCCGGAAGGGCTCCGGCTGTAAAATTACTGCCATTCCCACTGAGGATCTCCTTGACAAGTTGGTCATTTCGAAGTGGTGCTGAGACGCTAAATCCGAAAATATACTAAAAATTGGTGATAATTAATTTTTCTTGAAAAAACATGCTTTATATAAGGCAGGCGTTTCCGGCTCGATTGGGAGAGCATAATAGAATTATAGTGGCAATCCAACATATCAGCGAACCCAGGAATCAAGTCTTCACAAGCCTAAAAAAACTAGTTTAATGGAGACACGAAAAAGGGTATCCGAAATTAACAAGGACCTGAAGTAAGTTTTCGTGCTGTATAAGAGCTTCCAGTAGACGGGGATGAAGCTTGAATTTCGTGGGGTCGCCAAGTACACACCTTACTAATTTCTGAAATACTGTCTTATAATTAATTACCTTGAGAAGACCTGAGTTTTCAGCTCAACTCAGTCGTGAGACAAATTTGAAAGGTAGGCAGCAGGGCCTTAATATGGCTCGAACCGACCGGGAGCGCTTAGCTGAACCAAAGAAATATCCAAGCGTAAGCACAATCAGAAACTATAAAATCTCGATAGGAACCGATGGAGGCCGTTAGGTAAAGTTCGACTTTGTGGGGGCACCCAAGGTACTCAGCGAAGCCTCCACAACCCACTTTGTGTAGATCTATAAATTCCTGTGACCGAAGTGGCTCACATGTACCATTTCGCAGCTTCACAAGAGTTCACAGGTCACACCCAAATGGGACTGGCAGAATGGACTAAAGAAGTGAAATTCCCCTCCCGTGCAAAACATCGCACCTTTTCGAGGAGATGTTATCTGGTAACTATCGTCCGTTACCGTAAGAAAACCAGTTCCTGAAGAATGTGGGTCTGCTTCAAAGAAACATTAAAAAAAACGGAGAAAGTGAGAATATGAGTCCTAATACTACCCACCAACGTGAGAACCACGTTATTCGAAGCCCTTTCGAACAGGTTGGAAATCGTCGTCCAGTCCAGCATTGATGATGGGAGATTGTCCAAGTACCGTATCAAACAAGTTACACTGAGATGAGTAAGATCGACAGTGATGGACTCATCCTTCTGAAAATAAACAAGGAAGTCGGTCTCTGCAGTGAATTGTGACAACTAAAGGACTAAATCAAAAATTAAAAATTTATTCTTACTTTGCACGTCCTTATAATGTATGTGTTCAGCAGACGACGATAGATCCTTCCTTCTTGTTCGTCATATTCACCTTCAAACACGTCCTCCTCGATCAATCGCCTTAAAAACGTTTCTTAGAACATCAGAGCAGACTGGCTTAAAAGAGAAATAGGTGTAGCGGGAAACGGGCCCCCTTACTTACGCTAGCAGTCTGGGTGAAATCTCGACCTTACTTACGCTAGCAGTCTGGAGGTGAAATCTCGAATGGGCCAAGCATGAATCAGGTTCTCAGGGTCCGGGAATTGGTGCCAGACATGTTTAGGAGGATCAGAACTGATTTGTGTGTATATTACTGGCGGTTCTCAGCTTCACCCTTTGGTACTGAACTAGATGAAGTTGTTGCCACATTTACTCAGAGCGATGAACACCGTTGCACTCAGTCTGGGTCAGTCAGCTATCAGTCGATCCACTACTGACCCATTCATCCCTGCACGCGCCGGAGTTGGTCAGTTCTCCTGTGCTTGATGGACACGATGAAAGTCATAACACTCGTTCACGGAGCATTCAAGAAGAAGTCTGACTATCGCCTAAGCGGTCATCCAGGAGTTGGTATGACATCTCGTGGAATCCGATTCGGCGGTCATATTCGAGACGCATGACGTACCCGGCCCCCTGATATTCGAAACTTTGGTGAATGGACTGCGCCACTGATATCCGA